GTGCAGGAGCAGCAGCAACAGGTGCAGGAGCAGCAGCAACAGGTGCAGGAGCAGCAGCAACAGGTGCAGGAGAAGCAGCAACGGGTGCAGGAGCAGCAGCAACAGGGTGCAGGAAAAACGTTAACAGCTGAGAAGCGGCAACAGTTTTAGCAGAAGCATTACTAGTAACGGCAACTGACAGCTGACACAGTAACGGCAGCAGCTGCAACAGTTGCGAGGTCAGCAACAGTGACCGGAGAAGCAACAGTCAGAGGAGAGTCAACAGTAGGTGGCAGAAGGGGCAGGCGTGGAGGGCAGGCGTGGAGGGCAGGCGTGGAGGGCAGGAGTGGAGGGCTGGAGTGGAGGGCAGGAGTGGAGGGCAGGAGTGGAGGGCAGGAGTGGAGGGCAGGAGTGGAGGGCAGGCGTGGAGGGCAGGAGTGGAGGGCAGGCGTGGAGGGCAGGCGTGGAGGGCAGGCGTGGAGGGCAGGCGTGGAGGGCAGGCGTGGAGGGCAGGACCACCTGCCTCCACCACCTCTACAATACCCCCCAACTACCTTCCTCTCCGTGACAACGCGATTACCAGGCTAAACGCGACTGGCTAATCCAGCGGTGCACGTGTCCTATGACCAGCACCTGCACAATCAGCCCCAATCCCCCCCACCCCCCTCACCCCTCTTGTACCAAGTCAATAAACAACAACTATCACAAGCCGGTTATCGCTACGAGAAATAGTTGTCGGACATTACTGTTGGTCTCAACGAGCCGATTGTGGTGATGACAATCGTCACAATCGTTAGTGTTATAAACGGCCTAATGATATTATTAATTTATCGTCGTCACAATCACTTTCTGTCGCAAGTGGTCGTCTGGTAGGCACTTGGTTATCGTCGCAAGTGGTCGTCTGGCAGGCACTTGGTTATCGTCGCAAGTGGTCGTCTGGTAGGCACTTGGTTATCGTCGCAAGTGGTCGTCTGGCTGGCACTTGGTTATCGTCGCAAGTGGTCGTCTGGTAGGCACTTGGTTATCGTCGCAAGTGGTCGTCTGGTAGGCACTTGGTTATCGTCGCAAGTGGTCGTCTGGCTGGCACTTGGTTATCGTCGCAAGTGGTCGTCTGGTAGGCACTTGGTTATCGTCGCAAGTGGTCGTCTGGCTGGCACTTGGTTATCGTCGCAAGTGGTCGTCTGGTAGGCACTTGGTTATCGTCGCAAGTGGTCGTCTGGCTGGCACTTGGTTATCGTCGCAAGTGGTCGTCTGGTAGGCACTTGGTTATCGTCGCAAGTGGTCGTCTGGCTGCCACTTGGTTATCGTCGCAAGTGGTCGTCTGGCAGGCACTTGGTTATCGTCGCAAGTGGTCGTCTGGTAGGCACTTGGTTATCGTCGCAAGTGGTCGTCTGGCTGCCACTTGGTTATCGTCGCAAGTGGTCGTCTGGCTGGCACTTGGTTATCGTAACAAGTGGTCGTCTGGTAGGCACTTGGTTATCGTCGCAAAGTGGTCGTCTCGACGTAGGTAGGCGCGCATTCTGCCTACCTGTGTGTAAGTAATCAGAGCTACTCTGATTAACTAATTAGAGTAGTTAACAGGTGGAATGCATTAGGCAGTGACGTGGTGGAGGCTGACACCATACACGGTTTCAAATGTAGATATGATAGAGCCCAGTAGGCTCAGGAACCTGTACACCAGTTGATTGACAGTTGAGAGGCGGGACCAAAGAGCCAGAGCTCAACCCCCGCAAGCACAACTAGGTGAGTACATCAGTTGAAAAAAAGACATCCCACCTGAGAGGTGCAGGCCGGACATCCAGGTAGCAGACATACATCAAGCAACACAAGTTAAGCAAGACAGCCCTGTTGTATTTGGGTAACCAATCAGACACCCATGTAGGCAGGCGCCAGGTAACCACTCAGGTGTTGGTGACACTTAACCTGGGTGAGGGCCAGGAGTGCCCTGGGGGGTGGGGGGGTGTCAGGTGCCCCCCCCCTCTAATATCAACACTGGTGACTGCACCAGTGACACCACACCGCCTCCGACACCCCCCCCCCCCCTATGACACCAGCTCAACGCTGTCGCTGAGTTAAACAAACACGACGCCTAACACCTCCCCCCCCCCTCCACGAAAGAAACCGGCCTGGGCGAGTGATACTCCAACTTTTGACGCTCTTCATGCTGTTGTTTAATAAAAAAATAAAAAAAAAGTTCTGATGCACACATACGGGTGCACGCACTTCTCCCCCCCTCCCCCTCCCCCAGACTCCCCCCCTCCCCCACTCCCCCACCCTCCCCCTCCCCTGTAATTCTCGATTGCGAAAACAGCTATTTACTCTCTGAAAAGAAAATGTAGTGACACTCATCATTGGGGATCGGCAAGAAATGGAGGGCGCGGCGCGGCTGATGGGGTCCTAAGCGGACACCTCCACTACGGCACACCCAGCAGGCGATAAATAATTGAGATTCCGCCCTTAAGGTTATTTTTCTGGCGGTGACTTCATGCCCCCCCGCCTCTCGGGAAGGAAAAGTGAGCCGGGCGTCAAACAAAGCGTGCGTAAGTTTGCCCGCGTGGAGCTCTCTGTATTAAGTCGTAATCCCCAGATCTTAGCGAAAATGAGTTAGATCGGCTTGGGATTATCCGCTTGTTAGTCAAGGGAAAGAAAGTTGGAGGGGCGGGGGATGTGGGGGGGTGGGGGGGTTGGGGGGTGGGGGGGGGAGGGTCCGGGGGAGGGTCCGGGGGGAGTGGGGGAGGAGACGAATGGAGTTGAGGAGGTTATCTTGGAGATGATTTCGGGGCTTAGTGTCCCCGCGGCCCGTTCCTCGGCCAGGCCTCCTTTTTGTTACCCCCCCCCCCCAAGAAGCAGCTCGTAACAGCAGTCTAACTCCCAGGTACCTATTTACTGCTAGGTAACAGGGGCTTCAGGGTGAAAGGAACATTTTGCCCATTTGTCTCCCCCGCCAACGGGGATCGAACCCGAAACCTCAGGACTACGAATCCGAAGCGCTGTCCACCCAGGTGTCAGGCGAGGAGAGGAAGGGAGTGGCGAGGCAAGGAAAGGAGTGGACATAGTGGTGGAGGAACGGGTGACACCAAAGGGAAAGGGAGCCAGGGTGTTGTAGGGGGAATGAGCAGCAACAGAGATGAAAGAGAGAGGAACGAGAAAGTTCATGAGAGAGAATGAATGATTAAAATTACAAATAATACAAGAAGAAACAACAGTGCATATCAGCACTATATCAACGGTTAAGTATCCCCCGGAATACAGTACTAGGTTGTATAGCCAAGAGTCACAATAACGTGGCTAAAGTATGTTGACCAGACCACACACTAGAAGGTGAAGGGACGACGACGTTTCGGTCCGTCCTGGAACATTCTCAAGTCGATTGTGTTCTCACAATTCTCACAATGGACTTGAGAATGGTCCAGGACGGACCGAAACGTCGTCGTCCCTTCACCTTCTAGTGTGTGGTCTGGTCAATACAGTACTGGGTTGTGTAGCCAACGTAAACGAGAACGCGGGCGGTGATCTTAGTGAACTTAGTCTTAATGATCATCTGGCTGTAAGGACACGTGAAGCTGTCTTAGTCTGGCGTGACCACCAGGCCGGGCCACGACCATTCTCACAACCTATTAAATGTATAGGCTGACCACAGCACTGACCACTTGGTACTGACGGAGAGCAATAGAAGTCAACACGCGGTCTGAGGGATGCAGAGAGGGGTGAAACCTGCCGGGGGCTACAGAGGGGAGATGAAGATTGCTATAGGTTGCAGAGGGGATGTATGGAGGTTGCAGTGAGGGGTGAGTCTGTCAGCGGCGGCAGAGGGAAGTCACACACACACACACACACACACACACATACATGCGAGTATTGCACCCCATGAGACACACGGGGAAAGGCGACAGGTAGACAATATAACTCATGCTTACATACCACACATTCATTAAAGCTCAGACCCAAGGCGAGCCACACCATACTACACTACACTACACACCCATTCACACCTCCACACACACACACCCTACTCTCCCCTACACCATCCCCTTCCCCCTACCCACACACACACACACCAGTGTTGTGTTAGCAAGCCTCCACACCTGTTATCAAAGCGTGGGGGTGTATTGTTATCATAGTAACAGTGTTGGGATGACCCTCTCCTCCTCGTCCGACCTGTTATCTCTATAGTCTGCCAACAGTCATTACACTGGTTATCCTTTTGTTGCTATATATACACTTGTGTGTTTGTGTGTGTCCCCCTGTTGCACACATTACTGCCCTCACACCTACACATGTTTACACACAGGAATGATACTCACAGTTGTGGGACCCGGGACCTGAGACCCGGGACCTGAGACCCGGGCTCGGACCAGTGTCTCCCTCCAGCCCATTTTTACTCACAATTAATGCACAAGAAAATATTTTAAACGGTGTATTAATAAATGTATAATATAAGCCCGAAGAAATTAAATAATTATAGTTTAAATCTCTCACTTTATAGTTTTTTGTAATTTTCATGATAAGCAAATGTTTACACGATGAACTTGTACTCAAGTGCTGGCTGTGCCAGCTGGCAGGTGTACATGGGGGGAACAGGTGTGCCTGCTGGCAGGTGTACATGGGGGGAACAGCTGTGCCAGCTGGCAGGTGTACATGGGGGGAACAGCTGTGCCAGCTGGCAGGTGTACATGGGGGGAACAGGTGTGCCTGCTGGCAGGTGTACATGGGGGGGAACAGGTGTGGCTGCTGGCAGGTGTACATGGGGGGAACAGATGTGCCTGCTGGCAGGTGTACATGGGGGGAACAGGTGTGCCTGCTGGCAGGTGTACATGGGGGGAACAGGTGTGCCTGCTGGCAGGTGTACATGGGGAACAGCTGTTCCTACATAAACTTGGGGAACACCTGTACCTATATAAACATGGGGAACAGCTATTCCTACATAAAAAAAATGGGACAGCAGAATGACACAGCTGCTTGTAATGATCCAAGTGTAATCGTCACTTTCCTAATGTTGTGTGATGTGTTTGTTCCGGCAGTCTCTCGCCTGATGGGGGGCTCGAACATGAACATGAACATGGGGAACATGACGTCACTCTCCACCTGCAGTATGGGGGACAACAAGGCCATGCAGTTCCCACTCTCTCAGCGGAGGAAGAGGCGGGTGCTGTTCACCCAAGCACAGGTGAGTTGTCATCCCCCACCTCCTCAGTACCCCATGTCCCCCCCCCACCCCTCTATCTCTCACATACCCACTCCACCTTCCCACATGCCCATCCCACCCAACATGGGGCGCCCCACTCCACCTCCACATTCTCTACATGATGATTGATAAAAATTAAGCCACCCAAGAGGTGGCACGGGCATGAATAACCCGTAATTTTCTACATGCCATCCTCACACTGACAATGAGTCATGTATACTTTTCTTGTATTTTAGCTGATATAGATATTATTGTTCTGGTCATTATGCCTGTATTGAGCGCACATGCTGCCATCACTATGTTGTGCTCTGTCTGTCGCCCCGCCCCCCCCCCCTGGTGATCACTCTTCCTACAGTTCCTACCTCTCCTCTACTACCACTGCCTCAACTACCATTACTACCACCACTCCTACAACTACCACCACTCCTACAACAACCACCAGTACTAACGGTGGACCCGTGCCTCCACAGGTGTACGAGCTGGAGAGACGCTTCAAGCAGCAGAAGTACCTCAGTGCGCCCGAGATTGAGCAGCTGGCCGCCCTCATTCACCTCACGCCCACTCAGGTCAGTCCCGCGCCCGCCCCAACTCTGCCTCACGCCCACGCTAACAACCATCCTTCAAATGACCCTGTACTAACAACCACCCTACCACTGCCTCCTTGACCTGACAACCATCCTAACGACCATTAACATAATTACATTTGCTACCCGCACACTATAAACTACTTAAACAATCATAAATATACATAAAAGAGAATAAGGAAAAAAAATAAATGGTTTGAATTTAGTTTTTGTGCCGTCTCAGGTAATGTTGGCATGTGCCCCCCTCACCCCCACCCCCAACCCTCGCTATAGTCAAATACTGACTTACGTACAGTTCAATATTTGACTTACGAGCTGAGCTGCGTTTGGGTAGCTTGCTGAGGTTGAGATCTCCGGCCTCATGTCACGGCCTGTCTCACCACGCCGCCAAACTCCTTGGAGGAAACCTCAACTTCAGAGTAGATTTAGATTCGTAGCTAATTTGAAGATAATTCAGGACTGTGGCACTAGTTAAACTTTCTGGTAGTCTCGGGTAGTTTCACCTGAGACTAACCATTTTCGATAAGAAGCCATAAATATAGAAACCCCTCGTGAGTTTCAAGTCAATACAAAAGAGTATGTTCACGCTATTGTCCAGAATCCAGAAGGAACGAAATAACCTGGGAAAACATCACTACGTATTCCTAGCGGGGAATACATGTTTACATAAATAATAAAAATACAATTACTAACAAAAAAATTCAACTGAACCCCATGCTCCTAACATCTCTCATACAAAGACAACTTCAAAATATAGATTTTCTTTCCAAATACAAATCGATAATTCACTATAATTTGTTATTCTTCGTATATTACATAAAGCGCAAGATGCTTCCGGCCGCTGATGGTCGTACAAACTGCCATGACAAAAACATATAATAATCTTTGACATGTGGGGGGGGGGGCTGTATACCCCCTGAGAGCGGGGACGGGGGGCTGTATACCCCCTGAGAGTGGAGACGGGGGGCTATATACCCCTTGAGAGTGGAGACGGGGGGCTGTATACCCCCTGAGAGTGGAGACGGGGGGCTGTATACCCCCTGAGAGTTGAGACGGGGGGCTGTATACCCCCTGAGAGTTGAGACGGGGGGCTGTATACCCCCTGAGAGTTGAGACGGGGGGCTGTATACCCCCTGAGAGTGGAGACGGGGGGCTGTATACCCCCTGAGAGTTGAGACGGGGGGCTGTATACCCCCTAAGAGTGGAGACGGGGGGCTGTATACCCCCTGAGAGTGGAGACGGGGGGCTGTATACCCCCTGAGAGTGGAGACGGGGGGCTGTATAACCCCTGAGAGTGGAGACGGGGGCTGTATACCCCATGAGTGGAGACGGGGGCTGTATACCCCATGAGTGGAGACGGAGGGCTGTATACCCCCTGAGAGCGGGGATACGTTCTTGGTTGTTGAAGTGATCGCTCCCATTCACCCAGCAGTAAATGGGTGTCCGGTTGTTAATAACCGGTCTGCTGGGTGTGTTCCAGGGGGTGAATAGTAGGGTAAGACTCGCCAGGAGCTATGGGCAGGGGAAGGCTCACAAGTCGCTAACAGGGGGTCAGAAATCGTCTGTTCCTGTAATCATCCGAGTAAGCAAATATACCGAGTATACTTTAGTTCTAGACTTTAAAGTATACTTGGTGGTATAAGCAGATTTGATTGCCTTCAAACTCTGCAACAACAAACCAACAAGCAGACTGATAATTAGACAGAGATATATATAGACGGACCGAGATCGGTGAGGGAGGAGGCATATGTG